CCTCTTCTCCCCACGAGGCCCTTCCTTGCCCCACTGCCCCCTCCCTCAGGTGCTCTCTGACTCTGCCCCCAGAGACACTTGTCTCTTCAGGATGGCTTCCTCACCCCAGGCCCATCATTGGCCTCAGGTGCACTCACTACTGCCACGCTCCACCTGGGGCTTGGATTGGAGGAAATGGTTTCAGAAACGGCACTGTGAGCAGAGGAGGGCGAGCTTAGGACCACTGAGTCTGATAGAAGGAAGAGGGCTGTGCGCCAGCCATCCCAGCGCCCAAATGCAAGGCCAGGCACGCATCAGCACCCAATAAAGGTTTGTTGAAGCTAACTGACCTTATGCCTATGAGACACAACATTTCCACCTTGGACAAGTAAAGCTGTGTGGGCAGTGTGAGGAGTTTGGGTTAAACCTGAAAAACAAAATCATCCTGCCCAGAAGGGACACGATAGCCCAAATAAGAGGGTGCTTTATCTCTCCCGGGAGGTGTTTAGATTTATCTGTGTCATTAGTCTGAGAGGGCAGAGGGGTGGAAGGCCTAGGCAGGGGTGGACTCAGCCTCTCCCACCATCTGCCTCCTTCTGCTGGGGGACTCCTGAGTGTCCCTTCTTACACGGCAGGTCTCAGCATGAGCATCTCCCAGTGAGGCCCTCTCTCCAGTACAAACTTGTCCCCAGGTGAAATGGAAACGCTCTGAAAAAGGCGGCTTTTAGCAAAGCCTTCTTAGCATCTGGGATTTCCCTGTCACCCTCCTTCCCTCTCACTCGCTCACACACACACACACACACACACACACACACACACACACAGCCACAGTATGCCCAGGGCTCCCAGACTCTGCTTAGCCAACCAGGATGGGCCCCTCCCCACCCACCTCCTCCTCCCCACCCCTGTCAGCAGTTCTCCCTGTCCCCACTGAACAGATAGCATCACGATGAGCCAGCAGTCATCCTACAGCAGCACAGTGAGGTGCTGCGGCTGGGCTCAGCCAGCAGACCTCAGGATTACATCCAGGCCCACTAACAGCCGGAAGAAGAAACTGTCATAGCAGCAAAACCTCCAGCCCAGAGTTTCCAGGGCGACTCCTCCCCATCTCCCCACCTGCCACCCCTAAAAATGACTGAGGGTTGTGTTATGCATCATCTGGTGAAATAGTGCCTCAAACTATAAATTGCTGATGGTGTCAGCTCATCCCAGAACAGGGGTTATGCTTGACTGGTCCCACTTACCCCCACCCTGCCTGGCCTGGTTAGGGTTGAAGGAAGCTGAGCCCAGATAGGGGACAGCCCCAGGGGTAATGTGAGTGCTTGTTGGAGTGGGAAGGAGGTGGGGTGCTGGACGGGAACAGAGATGACTACTTAGAAGTGAAGGGAGGATTGTGCAAGAGAGGGAAAGGGGCAGAAGCAAAAGAGGGAGGGAGAGAAGGAGGAAAGTCAGCAGGGAGAAAAATGGATGACAATAACCACGTTGTGTACACCCTAAACACTTTCACATTTAATCCTCACAGTAGGGAAGCAGGGATCATTCCATTTTATAGATGAGAAAACCGAGGCTTAGAGAAGTTAAACAATTTCCCCCAGGTCACTTGTATACCATGGAAGGGGAGTGTTTGCTGACTAGCAGTGCACAGTGACAATAAAAAGCTGACCAACTTTTAGTTAGTTGTATTAGTGCTTTTAAGTTCTCTACAGACAAGCACTCCTTATTGCCTGCCTCCCAGAGCAGAACCCTGCCACCATCCTGCCCTAGGTGCACATTGTCCTCCACACTGCTGGCAGGTGGCAACACTCGGACTGAATCTAGGTCCGTCTAACTCCAAGGGCTATGTCAAGTCTTCGGTCCTGGGCCTGGCATACTTGCTGGTCTTCCCTGTGCCATTCTTCCTGCTCTCCTCCCCCCTTTCAATTCCACAGGGGTCCACTGGTCCCCATCCCGGTCTCCTGGATCCCCTTGCCCGGCCTCGGAGGAAGGGGATGCCCTATCCCCCAAGCACCACTCACACCTTGAGAGGCCAGAGCTGGTGGGCAAACTGGGTTGGTTCCCCGGTAAGCACTGGCGTTTTTGTCTCTCTGTCATCTCCAGGGCCATTGCTGTCCATTTTGGAGCCTGGAGTCTCCTCCTGAAATATTCACAAAACCAAAGGCCTAAATTCCTCTTTCTTTTACACCCTGCTCTTTCTCCCCTTTTTCCTCCTGCTTTTAATCTTTGTGGTGTATCCATCATTCAATAAAGCTGTATAACATATTTACAATGTGCTTTTCTAAGCACTGGGGATACAGAGAAGGGCAAAACACGCAAGAGTGCCTGCCTTCTGAGCTTTATTCTGCCAGGGATGACAGTCGATAAAAAAGCAAATCCATGCAGGAGAGGACCTCGGATGGGGAGGACTGCTAAAGAAAGCAGGAAGCAGGGAGGGGGACAGGGAGTACACGGGGTGCGGTTAAATAGAGAGTGACCTATGATCAAAGACCTAGAAGAGTTGAGGGGCCTGGCCCTGTAGGTATTTGATGAAAAGAGTTGCCAGCAGAGAAAACAGCAAGTGGGAAAGTGTGTGAGGCAGGAGTTTTCCTGCCTGTTTGATGGACAACTAGGAATCCAGGGTGGCTGCAGCAAGGGAGAACAGTAGGACAGATAAAGGGCGCTGAGGTCAGTGAAAGGGGAGGGCAGATTGTATAGAGTCCTGTACGGTATTTACTCTGAGTAGGATGGGAAATCATTAGAGGGGTTTGAGCATAGAAATGACATGATCTAACATGTTTTGAAAGAATCACTGTGTTAAGAAGACTGAAGAGGCAAAGGGGGACACAGAAAGACTAGCTGGGGGGATACGTCAATAAATCCTGTGAGAAGTGACAGGCTCGGTGGTGAGAAGTAGGAGGAGTTCAGGTACATTATGAAGGTAGGATTTGCCAGTGGATTAAATGTGGGATATGGAAAAAACAGAGGAATAAAGGATGACTCCCAGATTTGGGGCCTGAGCTACTGCAGGGATAATGAGCTTGGCAAGTGGAACATATGACTCGTATTTAGTAGGAACATTTGGAAAAACAGTTTCGGCTATATTAAGTTTGAGATGCCTATTTGATATCCAAATAGAGACATTGATCAAGTATACATGTGGAGTACAGAAGGGATGTGAGGATAGAGATGTGCCTTGGAAGTCATCAGCGGACAGATAATATTTAAGGTCATGAGGCTGTATGATATCACCAAGGGAATGAGTATAGATAAAGATGAGAAAAGGTACAAGGGATGAGTCCAAAGGTGCACTGGTGTCTTATCAGCAGTATTTTCTACAGTTGATTATTCCCTTTTTTAAAAAACGTTTTCTTCTTTTGGTTTCCAGACACCACACTGTCTCAATTTTTTTTTTCTGATAAGTCAAGTTAAATGAGGGCTGAGAACAGAGCACTGAAATTAGCAACATGGAGGTTACTGGTAATCTGCACAAGAAGTATTCTCTTGTTATTATTTTTCTGCTTCTTCTCCCATTAGACGTACACCTGGGTCCATGGAAAACAGTCGTTAACTAGGAATAGAGGGCACTTCCTCAACTTAATAAAGACTATCTACCAAAAAACCTACAGCTAACATCATGGTGAATGGTGAGAAATTTGAAGTTTTCCTACTAAAGTCAGCAATAAGGCAACGGTGTCCCTCTCACCACTGCTTTTCAACATTATACTGGAAGTTGTAACTAATGCAATAAGACCAAAAAAAAGAAATAAAAGGTATGGAGATTGGGAAGAAAAGAGGTAGTGAAAAAGACCTGAGATGCATAGCTCCAGTCAAAAGCATACATCCCCTTCCAAGTAGAATCCAGTGTCCAGTTAAGTACAAGTTTCCCCAAGCACAGCACAGGTAAGATGAACTACGTCACTCTGGGTCCTGAAACATCTGCAATATTGATAACAATATCCAGTTGCTTAGAACTTTTCATTTTCTATCTTGATGCTTATTGCTTTGTGTCTCTCTAGCCTAATCTAAGTTTCACCAATAATTTAAGGAGCCTGCCTAGACTGGGCCATAAATGAGCCCTATATATATCTGGCGGGACTCACACTCATATGGATAACTTTCCACACAGATATATGGTCAAATTATTGGCATGCTTTGGCCTCAAATTATGCCACAGAAGTGTTGACTGGTGGAAGTCCTCAAGGTTAAGGATAGAGACTGTCCACCATAAGGATAGAGACTGTCTTTTTTATACCTGTATCCTCAGTACCAAGCACACTGACTGGCACAGTGTAGGCATCTGAGAATTGAATGAGTGAGAGAGTGAATAAATGAATGAATTTTCTTTGAGTGACTCAAATTAGACATGTGTCTACACTAACCCAAATGAACTTGACTAAAGATTGAATTCATATGTAAACAGCCAAACCAGATCATGGAAGATAGATAAGAAGGTTTTTGGACTAATTAATCCATCTACAGAGATGCAATAAACTGTATTCTCGCTATATCATTTCTTACTGGGAGCTCTGTAGATCCTGTCTCTCCTCTAAACACCCCCATCTCTTTAAGGGGGTATGTCTATATAGATGTATCCCGTGTGCGCCGCTTGCTTAAGCTGTCAGCATTCTAACTTTCTGGTGGTTAGCCACACTTGCATTGAAAAAGTCTATTGGATTTATGACCAAAGCAAATTAATGTCCCCATAATGGGAATTGTGGTGGACTTGTGGGAAAAAATAGGGCCATAATATTTATGTGTCTATGCATTTTTAATGTTTATAGTTTGATGTTATAGCCCTGATCCTAAGGAGAATAGGTGTGTCTGAGATTAGCTCATTATTAAGGAGGTTATAGGCATGAAGAGTTTCTGCTAACTACCCAAGCTCATAAATGCCTCCAAATGGCTTTTTCCATTTTTATGAGGCCAATCCTCAGATGCCCACACACATAAAAGGGGTTAGAGGGTTCCACTAGCCTCAGAGGGACTCCCGGCTCCAGCTCACCCTACTCTGCAATTGCTGCTTTACTCTCGCCCAGGAAGCCATCATGTCTTGCCGCTCCTACCGAGTCAGCTCTGATCGCCACGTGGGCAGCTCTTGCTCAGTAATGGCCCGCCAGAACCTGAACTGCTTCCGGGCCAGCTCTGTCCCCTGCAGGAGTGGGCCCAGCTTCCGGGGCCTTGGTGGCTTTGGTAGTCGGAGCGTCATCACCTATGGGTCGTGCTCACCCCGGATAGGAGCTGTAGGCCCTCGTCCCATCCGCTGTGGAGTTGGCTTTGGTGCTGGCAGTGGGATGTCCTTTGGCTATGGTGATGGGAGTGGTGCTGGTCTAGGGCTTGGGGCTGGCAGTGGTATTGGCTACTGCTTCAGTGGCCCTTGCTTTGGCTACAGAGTTGGAGGAGTTGGAGCCCCAGCAGCCCCATCTATCACAGCAGTGACTGTTAACCAGAGCCTGCTGACCCCCCTCAACCTGGAAATTGACCCCAATGCCCAGAAGGTAAAGAAGGACGAGAAGGAGCAAATCAAGACCCTCAACAACAAATTTGCCTCCTTCATTGACAAGGTACCTATGATAGCTCAATTTCTGGGTCTGGGATGATGAGAGCCAAAATGTATTGGGGTGTTCTTTCCCTTAAGAAGAAATGACCCAGGCCTAGAGCATCGACCTGGACCCCCAGATCCTTCAGGTGTCAACCAAAGGCATTGAGGTATGATTTTGGGGTCACTGTGCTGCAGAGCAAGGACAAGCCTAAGGAGCACTGCATTGTGGGATAGATTAACATGGTGGTTGTGTGTTCTGGAGGAAAGAGGACATCCAGCCAAATCTGAACAAATAAAGAACTACTACCTAGGCACTTAGAAATATCTCCTAAATGGGCTAGAAACATTAGGACTTAGGCTAGGTGTTGGCTGGTATGGGTCTAAAAGGTTTTGTCCTTTGAGATCTTCATGCTCTCTTTGAAGTTTTCATAGTTTTTGAGGCTGAGTGGCCACATCTGTTCAGGCTTAGGAATGTGGAGAATGGAGTTGAGTAATTTTTGTACAAACCAAGCAAAGAATTCATGTCCCCCACGTGGGGTATCCAGATTCAGCCTAGTTGCCTAGATTGAGGGAAGTAGTTGGGAACCACCATGGATAGTCACTGATCTTTAGGCTGATGAGAGGAATAGTGTTGTGGAACCGACATCCCATGTTGCAAGGATGGCATGGATGCTCTGATTGTCTCTGAGATAGGAAACTAACTTCTGTGAGCTTCAGTTTCCTCATCTAAAATGAGGGTTTGGAGCAAATAATCTCTAAGTTCTTCCACAGCTCTACAGGTCTCAGCTGACAGAATATCTAGGATGATGGGTATGACCTATAACCTGAGAATTCCCACCTCCTAATGCCATATCCCACCCCAAATGTATTTTACTCTGCTCTTCATTTCCTACCAGGGATGGCTGACATCAGTGTTTAGATATAGACAAACTCCAGCTCAAGCAGAGTCGATCTTTCCAACTTCCTGGTGAACCAGCTTACACATTTCTGAGGGTAGAAGGAGAAATGGCATTGAAGTGCTTTGGTTCAAAAGCCTCTGTTTGTAGCTAAACCTGACTGAGCATGAGGAGGAGATCGCAGACCTGCTCTTCCAGGTTCTACTAAATTAGAGGAGGAATGAAAGTCAACAGAGGAGAGAATGATGTCACCACAGGATTGAAAGTCATCTCTGGCCATCTGAAGAACAGGTCGACATATAGGTGACTCTATCAAGCACTTCAATTGCCCTTTCTGTGCCCCTGTGGATTTAGGTGCGGTTCCTGGAACAGCAGAATAAGCTTCTAGAGACCAAGTGGAACTTCCTTCAAGAGCAGAAATGTGTCAGGAGCAACCTGGAGCCCCTCTTCGAGAACTACCTTACCAACCTGCGGAGACAGCTGGATATAGCAAACGGCGACCGGGCCCGGCTTGAGGCTGAGAGGAACCACATGCAGGATGTCCTTGAGGGTTTCAAGAAGAAGTGAGTGGCATATGGACTGCACTGACCAAGGATGGGCATGGGCAGGTCCCCAAAGCAGCAGCCAAGCTCAGATGACAGCAGCTGGAAGGACCAGGGTTGAATATTGGTTTCAAAACCCAGCCTGGAGACAGAGGTGGGGGGGGGGCAGTGATAAGTAAGGGAGAAGGAGGTCCTCATGGGTCCTGAGGAAAAGGGAAACTTGGAATTGGGGATTTTTTTCCCGAGTCCTGCCTGTGGGAATGGGTGGCTTAGCCCCAGAGAAAGGAGCCCTCTGGTTTTCAGAACAGTGCCCAGGTTCAGCAACAAGTTGAGTCCTACTTCCTCTATGGTCAAGTGCAATGGCCCTAAACCTTTTCCAGCAGAGAAGCATGGGCCAGATTTTCAGACCTACAACCAATTTGAGAAAGTAAAAGGGATTTGGAGAAACTAAGAGACACTGGCTCATATAAAATCTTAAAGAAGAAATAGAATGTCTGAGAATATGTAGGTGGCAAGAGGGAACCATGCTCCTGGATGGAGCAGCGAGCTCTTAAGAGGCTCACTGGAAGTTGCAAGTCATTGGTTCTCAGTTCAGAATGAGAACTCACCCTCTTAATTCTTATCATCCAGGTATGAAGAGGAGGTGGGACTCCGGGCCAACGCTGAGAATGAATTTGTGGCTCTGAAGAAGGTAAGGGAGAGCAACAGGTCCAGGGAAAATTTCTCCTCCAGAGAGGCAGATGTTCTTGAGACACGCCCCCCGCCCCCCTGCCCCGGGAAACTGCCCAGGCAGCCCTGTAGAGTCTGGAACCACACACACAGAGCAGAATCCCTAAGGTCACAACAGGTTCCCTTCGAAGTTCTGACTTGACCTCAGATTATTTAGGATTGGTTAGATTATTTAGATGACCTTTTAAGAGTCTTGGATTATCCGGAGTCTGCTTGCCTCTAAATAAGCATCCGGAAAGATCCAGCAGCAACCCAGGGGGAGTTTTTATGTTGCAGTAGGAAGAAGAAGAATAGTCACTAAGCTACATGTCCCCCCAGTGACTTTACCACCCATCCCAAAGCCTGGCCTGACCTGTGGGGAATGGTCTGACCTTCCCACCCATCTCCAGACTCTGCCAAGGTGGGGAGCTTAAACTGCACAAGTAATGAGCAACATGTTCTTCTCTCTTTTATGCAGGATGTGGATGCAGCTTTCTTAAATAAATCTGATCTAATGGCCAACGTGGATACCCTAGCTCAGGAAATTGACTTTATGAAAACCTTATACATGGCGGTAAGGGCTCATCCCCTATAAGCCATACGAGATCAGCACTTGACCTGGACCCCCTGGGGGTTCATCTTGACTGGCATATTTTCTAACATTTTATGTTCTACGTCTTCCCACTCATGTCTATATCCTCTATATGTTGATGTATCTACAAGTGGAGAAGGTAAGGTAAGCAGGCTTCTCATCAGCCTGACTCGGATCTATGAATAAACTCCGTGGATCTATGATCCAACCCCTTGTTGGGCAATCCAAAGATTGGGTTCTAGGAATGTCACTTCCTACATATTGAATAGAAGACTCTGGAAAACTGATTTGCTAGGGGATGTAAGAAAAATTGTGTTTAACCTAACTAGCCAAATGAACTAGCTCTCTTTTGCTTCATAAGTGGTCTGTCTAGTTTGGTATAGACCCAGCCAGAGCTGAATGTTGAGCTCTAAGTGGAAATGCTAAAGAAAGCTCCCTCTGGAGGCTTCACCTTGCAGACTAGTTTCAAGCTCCCCAGTTCTATATATTAAGAACATGGAATATAGAAATTCCTAGACCACCACGTTCTAAAATACAGTCAGTTCTCAATGATCCATGAAAAGCACAGCTACTTTGTGGATAATCCAAAGAAAAGTTGAAGCCCTAGAGTGGCCCTCACTCCTCTCCACCAAGTTTCTACACCCCTATGGTTTTAATATTCACCTAAGCAAGCTAGGGTGTTAAAGGGATGTGCCCAAGTATATAACAAGGGTTTAAAGTCAAACTGAAATGGTTCTTGATCACGTCGTTTTCTTTGCCCTTGGTTTGGATGGCCTGCTCCATTGCTTTGTTATGAACAAATGAGCAATGCTGCCTGCTCCTGACACCACTTCCTGGGGTCCCTGTGGCAGGGTCCCAGCCACCGATGGAACTCTGAACCCATCTTTCTTGCTAATTCTCCAACACAGGAAATTCAGTTACTGCAGTCGCACATCTCAGAGACATCAGTCATCGTGAAAATGGACAACAGCCGGGACCTGGACTTGGATGGGATCATCTGTGAAATTAAGTCCCAGTATGAAGAGGTTGCCAGGCGTAGTCGGGCTGATGCTGAGGCCTGGTACCAGACCAAGGTAGGCAGGAGTGGCCTGGGGAAGTGGTGTAGGCAGCCCTGGGGTGAGATTTATGTACAGTGAAGTGGATCCAGTGGAGATCCGAGGTCCTCAACGCATATGGGGCTATGGTCTCGGCCCAACCTTTGAGCCCTTGGAACATGCTTCTGTCCCACCAGTATGAGGAGATGAGGGTGACAGCTGGCCAACACTGTGACAACCTGCGCAACACACGGAATGAGATCAACGAGCTGACCCGCCTGATCCAGAGGCTGAAGGCGGAGATTGAGCACGCCAAGGCTCAGGTGGGCAAAGGAAAGGAGAGAAATCCCCAAGGGGAGGAGAGGCAGGGCCCCGAGCTTTGGGGAGGCCCAAGTCTGATGGCGTGGGGGAGGCCACCAGGACCCAGAAACAGGAGAATGGAGAGATTAGTCCAGGAAGATTTCCTGGAGGAGGAAAATGTGGAAGGGAAAGAGAGTCTCATATAGAAGAAAAGGCTTGAGACCAACTTGGAGGGGCAGACAGAAAGAATAGCTTTATTCTCTGGACCCCGTGGCTCTTGAAGCAGCAAAAATCAGGAAGTGTAAAATTAGTGGGAATGGAAACTGAAGAAAAACAATGCTCCACCCACTGGTAACATCTAACTACAGGATCAGAGTCCCTAGGAAAGCAGCCACCTTGGGCTCCATCCCTGGTTTGGCACCAGGCTGTGTCCCCACCAACAAGGGGCAGTGTTTCAAGCCCCACCTAGGGATCCCCTAGTCCCTGCCAAAGCCCACCTGCAAACTGCCCTCCCTGCAGCGGGCCAAGCTGGAGGCCGCGGTGGCCGAGGCGGAGCAGCAGGGTGAGGCAACCCTCAATGACGCCAAATGCAAGCTGGCAGATTTGGAGGGCGCCTTGCAGCAGGCCAAGCAGGACATGGCCCGGCAGCTGCGTGAGTACCAGGAGCTCATGAACGTCAAGCTGGGCCTGGACATTGAGATCGCCACCTACAGGCGCCTGCTGGAGGGCGAGGAAATCCGGTGAGTGCTCTCAGTGCACCAAGAGGGAATGGGCCAGGCTTAGGCATCTGGACTAAGTAGAGGGAGGGGACCAGGTGAAGAACTGCTAAAATAAGCAATCTCTAGAAATAACAAGTACTTTTCTGCAGGCATTAGTCAGGTTGCCCCTGGCAGGGGATTAGAAGATGGCTCTAAATCTGTGCTGCCTTAATGCAAGTTTGTAGACAGGCTGCACCAGAATCACAGGGAGTTTTGCTCGATTGGTTAGCTTGTTAAAAATAATAATAATAGGCCGGCCGAGTGGCTCAGTTGGTTAAGAGTTCGCTCAAGAGTGTGAGCTCTGAGCAACAGGGCCGCCGGTTCCATTCACGGCCCGAGCTGAGTTGCTGCTGAGCTGCCAACAGGTGGCAGGATGGCTCAGCTAAAAAAAATAAATAAATAAAATAATAATAATAATAATAATAATTATTATTATTATTATAATAAACACATTTCCTCAAATAGTTTGATTCAGTAATTTTGAGGTGAGGTCTAGGGACATAGAGTTGCTCAAAGCTCTCTGGATCCTTGTATGGACAAAGGTGAGAACCACTGGCCCACTCAGCTAGGAAAGCCCCTCTGATTGCAAGCTGGCTTTCGGGAAACAACACTATTTGTGAACTGACTTAGTTCTTTCTATCTCCAGGTTCTGCGAAGGTGTTGGACCAGTAAACATATGTAAGAAACTTAAATCTTTTCACACTTCTCTCTTGTGGCCCTTCAAATTTTTTTTTAAACCCAGGCTTACATTGGGGTTAGGGGTCCCTGGCTGGGCTGGCTAGGACAGTCAGGGGAGCAGGTACCAGCTGGCCCCTGGACTCAGGGGAGCAGAGGTCTGAGATCTCCTCAGAGCCTGCCTTCCCCAAAGTAAGCAAGAGCCAAGGTTTGCAGGTCCTCCTAGATGGGAGAGAGTTCTAGAAGGGAGTCAGCCTTTATGCTTTGAGTGGCCTTGTCCTTCAAGGGCAAAGGCCAGGGAAGGAATGGAAGGGCCTGTGCCATGGGGTTCCCTCCCCATGATGTGGGATGGGTCAGGCTGAAGGGGAGCCCCCTGCTGCCGCTGCCAGACAAAGTATTGGTCATGTCCAAAGCATGCAGGGCACCATGCTGGGCACTGCAGGGTGGGAGCACAAAGAAGGTGAGCCCAGCCCTTGCTCTCTAGAACTATAATCTTTTGAGGAAGATGAGTCCTATTCGCTGTCAGCTTAATCCTCAAAAGAACCCTGCAGGGAGGAACAGGCACTGGCATCCCTCCTTTGCGCACTCGGAAAATACACGATTTTCCAGAAGTCACATAGTCAGTAGTATAGCCAGAATTCAAACCTGGATTTCTGACTCCAAAAGAACAAATATACATCGATGTGTGGTGGAACTGAGCGCCAAACTGGGTGAGTCAGACAGAGCTCCAAGTGCTCGGATGGCAGTGCCTGCCTAGAGGGGGTGGCAGCAACAAAAAGCTTTCTGCAGGAGGTCAGGCTTGAGTGGAGGTCACAGATGGCAGGAAGGATTCTGGTAAGAGGAAAGGCAAGAAGGAGAGGGCCTGTACACAGCGGGGCTGGTCTAGGTAAGCTTTAGTTGGATTAGGGTCCTGGACCATGGGGGGGGGTGCCCAGTGGAGACCAGACGACTACAGCAGGGCCATCAGTGACATGGGACTCTTGTTGGAGAGGCAGTGTTGGGACCACCAAGGGGCAGGATATAATTGGAAGAGAGAAGCCCTGTAGCTTTATTGAGGTTATTACTCCAGCTGTCTGGATAATGCAGCTTACTACCCCTTCAACACAACCCAGCCCGATTTTGGCCATATATATAATGTATATATTATATTATATATATGTATATGATGTGTGTGTGTGTGTGTGTGTGTGTGTTTGTTTAGTGGAGTCACAGTCTTTGAGTCACCCAAACAAGAGAAAGGAAAGTGGGTACTGACTATATAGACAATAGGAGCCATTTCAACCTAGGCCACTTCCCTGATGCCACCAGCCCTGTCTTCCCACCCTGCAGTGGGGAGCATGGCAGCATTGCTGATGGTTTCTTTCTGCCACAGCCGTGAGCAGCTCCCGGGGCGGCATGGTATGTGGACCTGAGCCCCTGCTCGCCAGCTCCACCCTCTCCCGTGGTGGAGTCACCTTCTCTGGCAGCAGCAAGCGTTCTGGCAGCACCTGCGGCTCCAACCTGGGCAATTCCCGGATCGTCGTGGGCAGCGGGGACCTGCTGAGTGGGGGTTCCCGGGGAGGCTCGATGCTTGTGGGCGAGGCCTGCTCCCCCAGCATCCCCTGCCCGCTTCCAACCGATGGGGGCTTCAGCAGTTGCAGCGGCGGCCGCAGCAACCGCAGTTCCAGCGTCCGCTTCGTGTCCACCACTACCTCCCGGAGGACCAAGTATTGAGAGCCGAGCACCAGCCAACCACTACCCCAGGAAGAACCATCTCAGTGTCTCTTGCTTGTGACCCCAAGGTGGACACCTGGACTTTGGACTGGCTACCCCTCCTGCCATGAAGTGACACAGTTCTCCCAGGGGCTGCTCTGCCTGGCCTGTGTCCTTGGGGGACTTTTTCACCACCTAGAGGCTCCATCCATAGCCCCAGCCAGATTGGCCTCTCCTTGACTCCCAAGTTCCTTCCTTTGAATCACTCCTCGCCATCAGCTGAACAAGCAATGCAGATTCAATAGAATTATAAAAATCAGTGCATAGGAGAAAAGGAACAGCCCAAAACCAAAAAAGAATGTCCGGGCACCATCACCATCCTCATTTGGGATTAATTTGGAGAATGGAATGACTGTCCACACTGCAGGTGTCCTTAGCCCATCATCCTTTGCTTCCTTCCTCTTCTTTCCCATGGAAGGAGAAGGTTCTTTTCTTCTTTTCCTGACCCAGAAGGATTCACAGTCCTTGGTGGCCCAGAAGATCCCTTAGTACCCCAAGATGGTTCTTCCCCGAGGAGCTTTATGTCCTGGCTGCTTCTCTTCCTGGGTTGTTGGTTTAACTCCAACGTGTGAGTTCATGAGGTGGGTTGGGTGCTCATGGAGAGGTAGGCTTTGCAAACTCACACCCCTGTTGGTGGGGTGAGGGAGGCCCAGCCCTGTCTGCTGCGGGAGGGTCTATGCCTGCAAGCTCCAGGGAGGCTTGGGGTGGGGTGGGGTCCCTGTTTGTATTGCTCTTTGTGTTCCTGGGTTTTCAATAAACTTGCCAAGCTAACATCATTAGGACTCTGGCCTCTCTTTCTGCATCAGTCTGGAGATGGGGGAGACTGCCTTCTAGACTCCACCAGCACCCCCAACCCTGAGGACTTGCCAAGGGCAGAGGCTGGTGTCCTGGGTACAGGGGAGGCTCTGAGGAAAGAGGGTTCAGGCTCTTCCCTGAAGGGACTCACAGCTCAGCAAGGGAGGGAAGACACGTAGCAAAGTATCTGCAAACAAGTGCCAAGCAGCCCACTTCTCTCCAATCATTGTCCTGCACACCATAGGTACTCTTCTCTTGAGCAAGGCCAACACTCCTATCTGCTCCGCAGGCCCCACCCCACACCCAGTTCCTCTGATATCATCGCAGGGCGCCTTCTGATCTTTCTGTCCTCACTCTTGTCCTCATCCAACTCATTCACAATGATGCTGCTATAGAGACCTGTCTCACATAGAAAACTGATCATGCTTACAGCCCTCAGTGGCTCCCCATTGCCTTCCAAGAGTAGCTCAAACTCTTTAGCATGTCTTATAAACCCTGAGTGATCTGCTCATACACCCCACGTATCCCACTTTTGGCCTCTCATCCTTTATTCTTTCATTAAAGAAACATTTGATAAGTGCTTACTACGTGGCAGGCCTGATGCTGGGGAAATAGCAGTGAACAAGACTTGGCCCTTTGTCCTCACAGAGCTTACAGTCCTGCCTGAGAGATGGACAGGCAAACAAGCAATTGTGACTCAGTGTGCTAAGTGCTATATTAAGAGTAGAATCAATGCTACAGTGCACAAAGGAGAGGCCCAACTCAGACTTGGAACATCATTAAAAGCTTCCTGGAGGATGTGGTGTCCCAGCAGGGATGTGAAGAATAATGAATTAGCTACACTAAAAGGGAGGAAGTGTTCTAAGCAGGGGCAATAGCATGTGCAAAAACCAAGAGGTTGGAGGGAGCATGCCCAGTTTCAGGATCTGCCTGGGGTTGAGTATGACACTAGCATAGAGTGCAGAAGTAGTGCAGGTCAGCACCCTCGCCAGAGCCCCAGTAGAGCACATATCTCACAGCAGGGACTGTGTGCCACTCTGCCTCACCTTGAGAGTCCTCTTTAGAGAGCAGGAAGCACACCTTCCACCTTTATATATGCTGCCTTGCCCAGATCTCAGCCAGCAACTTGAGCACTTACAGGTTGCTCTGCTCACAGCCTAAGGCCTGCCTGAAGCTGAACTCACCAGGCACCTATCCTCCTGCCTCCAGGAGCTCCTGAATTCTCACCTCATGACCCATGTGGAAAGTCACACACACCCCTCAGGTGACAGCAACATCAAGGCTGTCCCCCTGCGGCCTTGGTGCCTCTCCTCAGCGAGACCCACAGTGACCCTGTGGCAGTTATCAATTTATTGCCTCAGCTCCAAATTCACCCTTATTGCCTGCTCTGTGTAAATGGATCTGATCAGTTTAAACATTTTCTTTTGCCAGCTGGCACAAAGTTAAGCCTAGTCAGTAGTCATTTCCATAGACATCGGAGAGACGTTAGGGAGTAGAGGACTTTGCTTCCATTGTGCTCTCTCGGCAGTTTCTCCAGGGCAGATTCCTGCAGTGCAGATGGCTTCTATACTGTCAGACCCTGCCGTGCACAGCAGCAGTGGCATCCAACAGCCAGGAGCTTCCCCTAGCAACTCTCTTGGGCAATTTCATAGCAAAGTGCCATCAGCAAGACACCTCCTTATGAAAAGTTTTCCCCAGCACCCTACAGCATGGATTTCTTGGAAGTTCTAGATGGAAGGTTTCCGACAAGTTCTATTGGTGTGGCACCAGAGGAACTCTCTGGAACCCAGTGAGCAATGGTTGTACCCTCTCCAGTGAGGTCTGGGTCTCAGCGATGGCTTTTCCTTGGGGTTTCTATCATAGCCCGTAGGGGTAGTGGCTGTTCCTTACATCTGTCATTTCTATACTCTTTCAAGTTCTTTTTACTTCTTACTAGCCAATTCCTCATGACTCCAATATTGTCTATATTAAACTGGCCCTGTTTAGTTACTGTGTGGTACTGTCCATGATTGGACCCTGACTGATGCATGCCACCTGGATGGCATTGCTTCCAACCTCAGGCCAGAGGACAAGCCTGGGACTCCTCAGGCTCCAGCCATCAGGCGTCTTCTCTTCTCTCTCTATCCCACCCCATAGGTGAGACACTCAGTCTTGTGGTTTTAAATGCCATCAATATGCCAGTGACTCCTGAGTTTATATCTCCAGCCCAGACCTTCCATTAACCACAGGCTGGTATATACGGATTGCTCACTGACATCTCCACTTGTGTATCTAATTGGCATCTCACAGGAAACAGGTCCAAAAACAAACTCTTCTTCCTTCCTCCCCCTCCCTGCTGCTCTTTCCATGTTAATGGTAATTGTACTCAGTTGCTTAAGCAAACAAAACAAAACAAAACAAAACAAAAAAACATCTTGGAATCACCTTTAACCCCTCTATTTCTCTCACATCCTCATATTTAATCCATCAGCAAATCTTGTCAGCTTACCCTTCAAATAATATCCAAAATCCAATTCCTTCTCACCACCTCCATGACCACCACTGAGGCCCAAGCTGCCGTTACCCTTGCCTGGACTACTGCAGGACTCTCTGCTTCTCTTCTCTCCTCCTTCAGTCTGTTCTTTAAAACAAACAAACAAACAAACAAACAAACAAACAGCCAAGTGATTCTGTTAAAACTAAATTGACCTAAAGTTTCATCCATGATGAAGTAAGCCTATTATAGCCCGTCTTTCCCACTGATTACAACTAAATACTCTGGATAAAATAAAAAACAAAAAAATTTGGAGGACTCTGAAAAGTAAACGAAAGCAGGTAGATCATGGAAGGAAGACAAAGTTTAAAGTGACTCATGTCTTTTTTGCCCTCTGCTCACATGGTTTTGAGCTGAGGGTGGGCCCCAGTTGTGGGGTTGTGAACCATCAGCATGACCAGCTAAAACTCCAATAGAAAGCCCATGTTTCTCACCAGGGGAAGCAAGAAAAGGGGACCCTGTGGGTTGGGAAATATGAAAGGGGAGTCCTCATGTTTTTGTCTAGTGGCTTTGCCCTGAGAGCAGATCCTGTCATGAAGCTGTGCAGCAGCAATGACATGGGCAGCAAAACTCCAAGAGAAACCTGATCTTTCTGGCTGGCGGAAGCAAAAAGAAGACTCCTATAAATGGGGAAGAGAGGTGAGGAGAAGGGGATGCATTTGTGTGTAAATCCACACAAATCCTGGTCTCTCCCTTGAGCTGCACATGCATGTGAGACCCAAAGCGGTAGACCCAAGGCTTTGAGAACTGAGATATGATTAACACCACTGGCCAAGTTTCAGACAAACCCTTAAGTGTCATATACACAGGACGGGTACAAAGCAGGAACCACTGCCCACAGAAGTAGAGACAGAACTTGCAGTCTGAACCTAACTAGGCTGATTCTCTACTAAAAAAAAAAAAAAAAAAATGCAGCTGAAAATTCTCCAGGGGATTTTAGCGGGACCAAGAGTCTAAACATCATAATATTTAAAATGTCTGAGATACTATCTAAAATTATTTTGATATTTAAGGAACCAGGAAAATGCGATCAATTCTCAAAAGGAAAGAAAATCAATGAATGCCATTCCCAAGATGATACAAATGTTAGAATTATCACACAAAAACTTGAAAGCACTATTAAAAACTATGTTCCATGAGATAAAGGTAAACACATTTGAAGTGAATGCAAGGTAGGAGTTCTTAGCAAAAAGTTGAAACTATAAAAACAGAAGCAAATGGAAATTTTAGAACTGAAAAATACTACATTTGAAATTAAAAACTCATTAGTAGGCTCCATAGCAGAAAGGAGAGCACAAAAGAAAGAGTCAATAACTTGAAGATAAATTAATAGAAATTATCCAATCTGAAGAATAAAGATAAAAGGAGATTGGGAGAAAAAATCTTTAAGCTACAGAAAAATGACATGTTATGTAGGGAGCCGGAGGTCTGCAGTAAAGGTTAAGCCTGAGAGCTGGAGGTCTGCAGTAAGGGTTAAGCCTGAAAGCTGGCAGGCTGACAGGCTCTCAGGCCCGGGTGAGCAGTGTGGGAAGGTTGGCTGCTGAGGAGAAAACAGCCAACGGCCTTGACAGCTACAGAGTGGACGGCCATCCTGTTAACAGTTTCTGCTCCTCCCTATACCACACCCCGATTT